ATAGGGTGGAACCTAGAGCGAAGGAACCCAACTTTGGGTTCCTCACGACAAGGAACCCAAACTGGGTTCCTCACATCGAGGAAGCCAGATCTAGGTTCCACCATGATGAGGAACCCAGAGCTGGGTTCCTCGTCGTGGTGGAACCCAGCTCTAGGTTCCTCGTGGAACCCAATTTGTACCTTTCTTTCGCCTTTTTTTTCTGTGATTCTTTCTGGTTTTGATAGAATAATAACATGATTATTTGACTCTTTGATGGGTTCTCAACTTTTCTTGCAAGTGAATTCAAAGATTGTTCTTTTTTTTCCAATATGAATCAACCTCCATTAGAACCATGGATGAAATCTTTTTTGATCTTCCATGGAGGTTGGGTTCCATGAGGAACCCAAAACTAGGTTCCTCACAAACCCAGCTCTAGGTTCATGGAACCTAGGTTCTGGGTTCCACAAGAAACCCAGTATTGGGTTCGTGGTACCCCAGTATTGGGTTTGTGGAACCCCAAAACTTGGGTTTCTTGCGGAACCCAAGAGAATGATGAAGAGGATGGTGAAGAGGAGGATGAAGATAATGTCGAGGATGAGGCGAAAGAGGAAGGTGAAGAAATTAAAGTTAGTTATGTTTTAATTCATTTAATTTTCTTTTTTTTTTTTTTTTGGTTGGGAGGTTTTCACATAAAATTATACCATGTCATCATGCCACATCATCAAAAAATCATCCACATTAAATAAATAAAGACACGTAACACCTATGTCATTATTTGAATGCCACATATTGCACTTTTTAACAATTATTAACGGTGATGTGATAGTTCGTTGAAATATTGAGTTTTTTACGAATTTTAAAAAGTGAGAGGTGTTGATTAGGAGGAAAATATTTAAAAAGTATTGACCACAAAAATAATAATAATAATTTGAGGGTGCAAATAGGGAATTTGACCTAGAAAAAATCTCACTCCTAAATGGTAGACTGTTCTGAGATCCAAAGGATTAGTGAAGCCCATTGGAGGTGAATCAATTATTCCTAACCGTAGCCCAGCTCAGGGACGGAAACAATTAAGCTCCTCAAAAAATTATAAAATAAAAAGTGTTTAGCCTGAGGGGATCTCGTGGTGCTCTGCAATGCCCTAAAGATACGATCAAGTCATATTTTACAGTTTCGTTATATTAATTTAGAACGGAGATGTTACATACAGTGTTGGAAATTGGGAATTAGAAAATAACTCATTGATTCCCAAGCGTGTTACAAACCTCACTTTTTTTATTATTATTATTTTCACCCCATCATTTCAGTATGCAAAAGAAATTAATTGAAAATACCTGTAAGATACAATTAAATCTTGTTAATTACACCTTGTACTGAATCCCACTTTTTCAAGTGGCAAAACTATCACTTTCATACAAGAATTTTTGCAACAATTATTACACAAAAGAAAATTGTTTTGTATTAAAAAACAATAAGACATTATACATGCTATCCATATTGGAATCATTCTTTACTCTCCATTTGGAGTTTGTTCATGTATAGATAAGAGTCTCACTTTCAAGAGGATGAAGACGAGACTTTTTATAAGTTATAGATGTCTGATAATAAAAAATACCTTTTTACATATATATCTTTTTTATTTAAAGAGTTTTAATATAAAAGAATATTTTTTCATATATATCTTTTCTCAACCATTGTCTTTTTCCTCTGTTTTGAAAGTTTCTCCAACATACATAATATGTTTTTACACAATATTACATTATGTGTACATAATATTATGTAGTAAATATTTTACAAGTAGTTTTTCTGTATTTAGAAATTAAAATTATTGTACATCTACAACTTCCAAAAAATAAAAATAAAAATTCACGAGGCTGATGACGGATAAAAGCTGCACTTAAACCAACTCGTCTTCTCCAAGTATCCTTTCCATCAACAACCAAAACTTGGACATTATTTGTGCTACATGGCTCTAGGTAACCCAGTTAGAAAAAAACCCCAAATTAAATTTAAATGAAGATAGAATTATTACTTGAGTTGCATCACAAATGGTATTGAAGTTTATGAAGTGTTGATTGATATTTTGCACTCCATACTTTTCCACCATGGTTATCTCAACTAATTTTACTTCGTGGGTATGCATATATATATATGAAAAGAAATTTATTTATATATAAGTTTTATATATTATATCTATATAAAATTTTAATTATTCAATTTTTTATTTTTAATGGTTGAAGTTTATTATAATTTTTTAGATAAAAAAATAATTATTTTTAAAAAATATAAATAAATTTTAATTATTAAAAATAAAAAAATAAATGATTAAAATTTTATATAAATATAATATATAAAACTTATATATAAATAAATCTCTACTATATATATATATATAATGAGCAGACTTTACAAACAATGTGATCTAATGCGTTTGATAATGGTTGCTAAAAACCAATTTCTTCTCTTTCTCGCTAGAATGATGTAGTTCCATGCCGACTTCTACTAGGTCATGACCTGGGTCGAATCCCTTTGAAATAGTAAACTTAAATTTCTGTACGTACGGAAAACAAAAACAGAAAAGTAGTCATATGAACGATTATAAATTAGTGTTTATTAGTTTCATAATAATTAGAAAAAAATTAATATTAATTTAAGAACACCCAACAAAGTACACAATTAATTAACTTACCTCCATCAATTCCCTTTTTATTGAGCTAGATCCATTGAGTTTACCCGGAAGAATGTAATTACAAAGATATGCTGTTCGTGGATTAATTTGGAAACCATTTCATAAAATTAGGAAAAGAATTATGATCTCATACTTCTGTTTCTAATTTAAACATATGTCAATACTTTCACTTTATATCAATCTAGAATTTCAGTGTGAAATTAAAATTTAATATTAAAAACTCTAATATTCAAATATTAAAATAGATAATTCTCTACATTGTAGATAGAGTGGCTTCACCTTGCCCTTAAGTGGATACCCTATTAAGAAATTTGAGTTTTAATTGTCAGTTCTCTTTTTCCCCATTTTCTTAATAATTATAAATAATTACTGTTACTCAAAACAAAAAATAGATAAAAAAAATTTCAAAAGAAAGAAATATCCTAATTAATTATCAAAAAATTTATTTTATTAAGATTTAAATGACTAATTGTTACTATATAAAAAAATAATATATAATTTAAATTATATTAAACTATATATCATTAATTATTAAATAAAAAGTAAACCTTTAATCTTAAAATACTCTCCTTTTCTAATAATAGAGTCAAGTACATTCCAAACTTAAAAAACAAGAAACCCTGCAAGATGCTTGAAGTATCTTAATTACCAGGAGCCACTAGGCAGCAGCCACAATCTGATGCTTCTTTGGGACCCATCATATCCACATGGAGTGGCGAGAACCACAACCGCCAAATGGAAAACGCCACCTTAGAGATAAACTATTTTGTCTCACAAGTGCATCCGTTTAAGGAGATCTTCTTCTTCTTGTCCCTCAGCACTTGGCCGAAGCCCCTCTATTTCTTTGGTAATGGAGAGTTGTTCTCTGCACCTACGGGCCGTATCAACCATACCCAACTCTCTCTACAGAAGTGGGTTTGCAGAAAAGTCTTTGTTTTATGGTCAAGCCCTCAAATTTCCCAGTTTCAAGGGGAACCCACATGGCAGGAGGCTCAAATTTATTGATTTAAAAGCAGCTCAGGCTCCAGGTATATTAAAATTTTGTCCTGCATCTGGTGAATTTGCTGTAGTTTTTGTTGTGCAATTTGAAATGGGCATCCTTTGAATTCTGTGGTTGATGATTCAGTAAGACCCTAAAGTTATGGGAATGTTCCCTATCATCAACATTGAAGTTTCTTTCAAATTGAATGGTAGCTGAGATCATGTTTTGACAACTGCACATGAATATGCGACTCCCCACATCAGAGGAGATCTTGTGATTGAGTGTAAAATATGTGTCACAACCAACTAGGCCACATGAATATCGGCCTAAATAGCCCTTAGCACAGTTGGGGCTACGGCCCGGGTTGCTTCAATACAGCGGTCAGTCTTTTATGTCCACATAATTAGTAAACAGTCATCCACATAATCGCTAGGATGTGCAGGCTAAAAAAATATTAAGTATTTGAAAAGAAAATGCTTATTTAAATACAGTGTTAGCAATGTATTCTTTTATGCTATATTTGGTAGTGAAGTGTTGGATTGCATTACAATTTGAAGTTTTAATCAAATTATTCGTAGATTATAATAGAAGGAACTTCGGATAACATCATTCTATAAATTCAATGTAGAAGAATTTTATCATCTATTTTTTTGTCTTTTAGTTATTCTAAGAGATGCCTGATTTTTGCTATTTAAAATCATTCTAGCAGCCTATAGTTTGGTCTTAAATCATTAAGGGATAATTATTGATTGTCCTTAACTATGCCCCTGTTTCTGTGATCATTTTTTCTTTTCTTTTTTGGTTCAGTTTCTATGACCATGTTCTAATTTGGAAAATTAGGCATAACTGTAGAACTGAGTATTCATGTTTGGAAGAATAGAAACACAGTCAAGGTTCCTACGAGAAATGATAGGGTTAATTGCTTGCTATTATCCCTTTACTTTCAGGGTCATGTTTATCCTGTTCTGCAGCAAAAAGAGTTTCCCTTTCTCATTCATGTTTTTTTGCATGCAATCAACATTTTTATATGTAAATCTTGTCCATGACTCAAGGTACAGGCAAAATCAGGGCAACAGGGGCAATGTCAAATGAAGTAGATTCAAAAGATGAGAATCTTGCGTTTGTTGCAGGTGCCACTGGTAGAGTTGGCTCACGAACTGTAAGGTAACAATTCACTTCGCAACTTCACTTTAAGGCCAAACATGTTGATGTCTGGTTTCCTAAATGTATAAAAGGTCATGTCTTCTTCAGGGAGCTTCTAAAACTTGGTTTTCGAGTTAGAGCTGGAGTCAGGAGTGCTCAGAAAGTAGAAAACCTAGTAGAAGTATGTTTTCGAATTGTTAAGTAAGAGTCTTATCTGGATCTAGTTCCAAATTATGTATGTACTGAAGAGAAATCTGAATGCAGAGTGTCAAGCAGATGAAGCTCAATCCCATTGACGGAACCACACGTAAGACATGATTAAATTTTCCTTTTAAATGATTATGTTCTTATAGCAAGTTACAGGCAGTCTTTGGTCTTTAGACAGCTGTAGAAAAGCTTGAAATTGTGGAATGTGACTTGGAGATAAGAGACAAGATTGAACCAGCATTCGGTAATGCATCCATAATTATATGCTGCATTGGTGCTAGTGAGAAGGAGGTTTTTGATATTACAGGACCTTATCGGATTGACTACCAGGCCACCAAGAACCTAGTTGATGCAGGTAAGAAAGAGAATGAACCACTCATGTGTGTTTGTCATTTTGATTTTAGCACGAGGCAACCATTACTATGCTATTGCAAGATTTTTGGAACTTAAATCACTTGAGAGAAACAAGAGATTTGTTTAGAGCTTAAATAACTGTAGGGCATGTCTTTCTTCTTTAGTTTATGTTAATCTCTTCAAGAATATGTAAAATATTATGGAGGGGAAAGGATAGACATTAATGGAGAGAAGTGAGATTGCTTCTATATCTCATCTTGATGAGTTTTCCTCAGTATTTTTGCAATTAATATTATCCTCTCTAAACTCTGTATGGTGCAACTTGAATCCTTCTTTCTTATTGCAGCAAATTCGGCAAAAGTTAACCACTTTATTTTGGTCTCATCTTTGGGAACAAATAAATTTGGATTTCCAGCGGCTATTTTGAAGTTAGTTTCTTTCTCCTTTTTTTGCTCCTTTGTTTTATTTCCTTTTCTTTTCATTAAGTATGCTGTGTTGCCTAACACAATTGGACTGACTTCTTTTTGATTTTCCTCCTTTTCACCGAAGTTTATTCTGGGGAGTACTAATCTGGAAGAGGAAGGCAGAAGAAGCTCTAATAGCCAGCGGCATTCCTTACACTGTAAGTGGCTCCAGGAAGCAACTGAACTTAATTGACTTGCAGGAGTCTAGCTAGAGGCATATCGCTTGAACTTGATCACTCATCATCATGTAGTGCTTGTTCAGATAGTCAGACCTGGAGGAATGGAACGACCCACTGATGCCTACAAGGAAACTCATAACATTATCCTCTATCCTGAAGATACCACATTTGGGGGACAGGTGTCAAATCTTCAGGTATATATAATCTAAATTTAATTTTCACAATTGCCATTTCAAGTCTTTCATGTAACAAATGCAACAAATATTCAGATATATTATGCTTTAAAAAATTCTTCAGATATATTTTCTTACCACCAATTGCAGGTGGCAGAACTCATGGCATGTATGGCCAAAAACCGCAGCCTTTCATATTGCAAGGTAGTTGAAGTGATTGCAGAAACAACTGCACCACTGACCCCTATGGAGGAACTTCTTGCAAAGATATCAACTCAGCGTGCTGACATTTACTCACCAACGTCTCCTTCTCCTACTCCACCAAGTGGTCAGAAAGAATTAAATGTAGTTGATAGAGCATCCAAGCCTGCTCAAGCAAATGCATCAGGGCTTACAAGTAGCACCGATAAGACATTATCAGTCCCTGGAGAAATGCCAAAAACAAGGCCTCTTTCACCTTACATAGTGTAAGCCATTTCTACTAATTCTTGCCAAACCATTAACGTCAGTTTTTTTCTCTAGGATCTGATTTGGTTTTAATAGTTATGAGGACTTGAAGCCACCTAGCTCTCCAAGTCCAACACCAAGTGGCCCCAAAGAAGCAGCTGCCGTTGCCTCAACACCTGTAGAGAATGGCACAACATTGACTGAAGGCAACAATGTACCAAAAACAACACCAACCAGTGTTGTTGAGAAGGATCCTTCCCAGAATTCAACTTATCGTTCCCCCTACTATGTGTAAGTATGCTACAATTACCTATATAATATCGTTTCTTCTTCATTTCATGCTAATATGTACAGGTTTATTGTTTTATTATCCCAATAACAGTGACACCTGATCCTCAGCCTTAAGAGTTTGGAATAGTATTAGAACTACATCTGGTTATCTAACAAACATTTAAGCACTTAAGGTTTGGATTTCTGTTTTTGACCAAGGTTGTATCCCTCTAAATATTTTTGTAGTCGATTATGTTTTGAGTATTTGACGATACCATTTCTTCTGTCATCTTTCTGTGTTCTCCACTCCATCTATAATGACAGACTATGTTTTCAGATATGATGACTTTAAGCCCCCATCATCACCATCACCTAGCGCACCAAGATCGATTCCTGTAGACAGCAGTGGATCTCAAGGTGCTACCCTGTCAGTAAACAGCAAAGCAGCTCAACCTCAAATACCAGATAAATCAAGTGATGGACCGCAAGACAACGTACCGAAGCCACGACCTCTTTCACCTTATACAATGTGAGTTCCTCCTAATCTTCTTTATTTTTCTATCTTTTCAAATGCTTTTTGAGATAATTGAGTTCGTCATACTGGCATTAAAGCAAACTTCCTTGCGTCAATGATGCCATAGTCCATTCCAAGTCCAAATCAATCCCATATAATATTTTTATTTTTGGTAATTTTGCCAGATTAGTTTAATGTTCTCCACTCCCATATTTCAAATTTAGGCTATGCCCTATTCTGCTACCAGGATCTGGCTAATTTTCTACAAACTGAGTTTCTCCTTTCATCTCTTCCCTAAAATTACCAGGTATGAGGACATGAAGCCTCCAACATCACCAACACCATCTCCAAGGAAATCTTAAGAGAACAAACTGTCAGTCATGTCAACAAGGTAAAACTCTAATATCCTGTTTGGTTTGAGGGGAGAGGGCTCTGTTTCTCTCAAATCAAACAGGCTATAAAATTCCCTTTTTCATTTTTTTTTCCTAAAAAATAAACATACACTGTAGCAACTATTACTACATTGTCACAGAATCCTGGAAGCAACTGCAATCGCCAGATGAAACACACACAGAAACTGCGGAGAGATTTTGGTTTTAAATCAGCCATCTGTTTCAATTTCCAGTGCATTATTTGACATCCAAGTCTCTATACACAAACTGTAACAATAAAAATTCTAGTTGCATTGAATTGCATTCCTTTTTCTCATTTTAAAGTTTAACCTGTCCCAAACATGATCCTTTGTTCTTGAACTTGTGAAGCTTGTAACTTGCAGGAATTAGTTTGTCTATTGAAAATATGTGCATCTTTCAAACAGACAAGAAAATAATAATGCCAATTGAAAACGTCAAATGTCATTGACATTTCCTTTAAAAAAATTCAAAGATGCTGGTTATAATTAAGGCATAAAAATATCAGACTCTCAAATTTACCTCTGTTTTAATCTCTCAAATGTACCAAAAAAGAATAAAAGGATGCAAGCAAATTATCTCATAACCAGTTAATAAGCAGACTCAGTGAAGGGAGGTTAGAAAGGCACCACATACACAAGAGAAATGGAACAATGCCACTAAATTAATCAGCATTCCACTAATCGAATGCACTCATAAGGATTAGGTCAAAAGTCTCCACATGACGAAGACAGAATAACCAAAGTGTGGCCAGTTAAATTATTACCAGGTGCAAGTAACTGCATAATCACATCCGGTCCAGGGCCCAGGCAGTTCAAACATTACAGAGAAATTACAAAAAAATAGAAGAAACCATTCACCAATGAGTCTTCCCATTGCCATTTAGGGAGATTTGGATGATGGAACTCACAGCTCATTCATCTGTTGTATCTGAGCGGATAGCTGACAACAAACCAGCAAATGTTTAATGATAATACTTTATTGATGAGATATGAAATTTATAACTCAAGATGCAAGTAAATCCACAAAGAGACATATATTGAAAGGACGGATGGAAATCCACAATCACACATCCCTAACATGTGGTATTGTAAGAAATCCATACACAACTTTCAATCATGAAAAAGCATTATAAGAACCCTCTGAAAACAAGCAAATGCTTCCCATGAAACATCTCAAATTTGAAAGGATTTCTCTATTTCACTTCCTAGACTTAAATTTAATAAAATAAAATAAAACGTTCAAAGTCATATCTAACAGAAAAATTCAAAGAGAGAGGAAGGCATACTGGGCTTTTCAGGCTTCCCATCAGCCCACTTGGAGATGGCAAAATGGACCTTCTCACGAGTAAGGGCTTCAGTCTTGTAGGGTTCCTTGAGACAGTTCCTAACAAGATTCGCACATATGTTTGAATATGTAATATATGTCATCCCTGCTGCACGCCAGAATGGCACTGCTGCATTTGATGCCATTTCTTCTTGAATTCAACTGTAGGTAGTGTACCACAGAAGAGGTGAGAAATGTAGTAGTTCAGGTACAATTTTAGCAATAGGACCAAACACTTCAGAAATAAAAATCGAGACACAAACTTGAAAACAAAGAATGTATCACAAACTTCCCAAAATTTGAAATAGGATTAAAATCATATTTGGTTGCTTGTTTCTTATTATCAAGCTTTCAACAAAACAAATTAGCACAATTGTCAAAAACCCATAACTTTTAGAGTTATAAACATCGACTATAATAAATCTATTGAAATTTTAGAGTTTACTGACAGTAGAAAACAATAAAACTCTCATCTTACTAGCAGACAGAGTAGTCATAAACAAAAGATCAAATCTTCATAGATTAAACAGGTTTAAAGAAACACCCGCATAGCCACTAGTTGACCCAGAACATTTTCCACTAACAATCACCCTCTATGAATACAAATACCCAGATATAGCCGAGTATCAAAATTGAGAAAAGTAAAGAAAAAAAAATGAGAAAAAGAATTTTAATTTTCAACCAACATAATCATAAAGTTAATGCAATACAAAGATGAAAATGTAATTAATTAACGAGTTATATGTAATGCGATCCTAAACCCTAACCTCGAAGATTATCTATTTCTGCAGATCTCAAATTTTGATTGATTTTGACAGCAAAAATGATGATTAAAACAATGTTCTCCCTCGATGAATTAAAAAAATGAGTAACGGAGATTGAAGTTACCAGCTTTTCGTTGACGATGGAGCGAGCTGAGAACCTCGGAACAGAGCTGCGTTGGCGGAGACTGCGACGGACATGAGGGCTGCCATTTTATACCCAAAAACTCATCCAACTTTGATTTTTTGATATCTCTATTTTAGCCCCCAAACTCAATATTTTTTCTTAATTCTCCCATAAACATATTTTTTTAGATGATTAAGCACGTCTATAGTCTACTAAGTGTGCACGTGTTTTTTATCAGTTCCTTTATATTTTTTTTATTGCAAAACAATAAATAATCTCTCTCATTCAATTACCTCATTTGCATGCTTGAGACTCAAATATTTTTTTTTTAATAAATTGGATGATATACTATATAATAGAAAATAATGGTGAAACTAAATATGAGTTATATCTTAAGTTTCAAAAAGTTGCAAATAAAAGACCATAAGGCTAAAATTGTAGGAAAAAATAGCAAGGTCTTACCCTAAATTCCATCATAAAAGAGAAAATAAATCTAAATTAAGGGTATAAGAAAAAAAGAGCCTTATCATTTGCTTTTTCCTAACTTCGCTTTAACAAAGATAGTCAAAATAGCACTCTTCTTTCTAATCTCTCTCAACTAGTTTCAAAATTTAAATTTTATATTTCTAATTAAATATTTCAAATTTTCAATCATTTAAAATACTTCTTTCCAGGCATAGAACTCGAATACATTGCTACACTTGAGGAGAGATTAGGGAAAATCAAAAGGCATAAAGTTAGTCCTTGAAATTGTTTGTTTTCCCCAATCAAACCATTAAACTTATTCTTTTTTCAAATAACTAGATTTTTCATTTTTCGGTAAATTTCAAATAAAAAGGATGGTGCTCGGGAATTAGGGTTTAAGGAAGAAAGCAAGAATTCCAACAATTTACAAGGATGAACGGGGATCGATCCGATAGCCAGAAAATGGGTACCGATGAAACTCCGAGTTCAGCTAAGAGAAATTCCGACCCTCCATCGTCTGCTTCGGCCTACCTTGATCCTAACTACTGGTAACACTGCTTCTCTTTTATGCTTTTAGTCTTTTCATTTACTCACTCTCTCAGTGTCTCGTGTTTTTGTTGCAGGAATGAGCGTTTCTCCAATGAGGAACACTATGAATGGTTCAAAGACTACTCTCATTTCCGTCATCTGATTCAACCCCATCTCAAACCCAATTCCTCTGTACTTCCTCTCTTACTCTCTTATATATATCAATGCAGTTATGTTTTGCTCTGTAATGCATATCGGTTTGACAGAAATGGCATTTTATAGATAAAGCTGTGTTCTTGAAAGTATTGGATGTTATGATTTTCATTGTTTTTGAAAGCATTTGTGCCTTTGATGTGAAAAGAGAAGAATTTTTAGAGAAAGTAGAAAGTTAGTATTTTGACCCATGTTTTTAAATTGGGTTCTTAAGTTTTTTAATGCAAAGCTTTGAATTTTCATTCGGGGGGGTCAATATTAATTGGTCCCATAATTAAATTTTGATGTATTTGATTTTGGTAGTGTCAGATAAGTTTAAGATGCAATAATTTTGTGAAAATTGCTTGATGAAGGTCTTGGAGCTGGGTTGTGGAAACTCACAGTTGAGTGAAGAGCTTTACAGCGAGGGAATTACCAATATAACATGCATTGATTTGTCATCTGTTGCAGTGCAGAGAATGCAGGAACGGTTAGTTTCCAAGGGATACACAGGTGCATATTTAATAGACATTTTTTGGAGCCTTTTTTTTTTTTTTTTTTGGTATTTCATTATTTGCTTCTAAGACTATGGCTGGTTTGCTATTTAGAGCCTGATTTGACTTCCGGATTACTTGACATGAAATGAATTGCCAAAGCTGTCTAAGTCTGGTTTGCAATTTTACATATTCTATTTTTATGTGAAATTTATAAAAATATCCTTTTTTTCAAACTGATTTAACATAGAGACAGATTATTTTCCTCATTTTCTCAGAGGCTGGAACTTTGGTGGCAAAAAAGGTTCTTTGCATTGGAATTAGGTTATATTTTGGACTTAGTGCCATTCATTAGTTTTTCTTTCTCGTTACCTCTATCATCAGAAATAAAAGTGCTGGAAGCTGACATGCTAGCCCTTCCTTTTAGCGACGAGTGTTTTGATGTGGTTATTGAGAAAGGAACCATGGTAAACGGACAACCCAAGTTGGATTTTCTTTTACATGTTGGCATTTATATTTTGTTTTTATAATTATATATTAGTGATTGTTTCCTCCTTTCCCTTCTTAATACTTTTAGGGAGTCCATTCCATTGTGTGTATTTATTTTATTTATCCTTTCATTTTGAAGGATGTCTTGTTCGTTGACAGTGGTGACCCTTGGAATCCACAGCCTTCAACAGTATCCAAGGTCATGGCAATGCTTGAAAATGTTCATAGGGTTTTGAAACCTGATGGCATTTTCATATCAATTACTTTTGGCCAGGTAAGATTAAAGAGATCCATCGGGTTGCATTTTTTCTTGTTTGATATCTTATTCTTTGCCTTTTCTTTAGGCTGCTGATATTGTTCTTACTTAAAATTTGCATCTTGTGCAGCCACACTTTAGGCGTCCTTTCTTTCAAAATTCAAAATTTACATGGTCTATTGAATGGAGTACTTTTGGGGATGGATTTCATTATTTTTTCTATATCTTGAGGAAGGTTAGTTCAAACTGCAGAGAATATTGCCTTCTTTTTTCTTTTTTCTTTTTTGTTTATTTATGTTGTCATCATCTTTTGCGATAAATCACTGGTGCTATGAAGAAAAAATGAACTAGTTTTCATTTCCTTCCCGTTTACTTCAGATGTCTTACTTCCCAGTCCCTTAACCTTCTTTCTGCGGTGTAAAGTGATGATTTTAGCATCTTTCAGGGAAGGAGAACTTCAGATGGCTGGGATTCAAGTGAAAAGCTTGAGATGCCATCAATTTGTCTACTCCAAGAAGAATTAGAGGGCGAAGACTATATTTTTCGAACCAACATCGATGAGATGGATTGCTAGTACCGATTGTAACTTATCTATTAATTCCCCTGCAGCGCTGCTACATGCTTACATCTTCATAACAAAGTGCAGCAAAGTTAACATATTCTCAATACAACTTCTCTTTGCAATATCAATGTCAAAGTGTAAACTTCAACATTTTCTGTGACTCTTAGCAACACAACCAAAGAATTGGTGTCTAGACTTACTGACTTGAAACCTTACTGAACCATGTTTTGTCAATGAGATGGAAAGGTCATCTGGTGTACTGTTTCGATATCCATCTTGTATGCCTGTATTCTTTTTCATTTGCTCAATAAATATGATTTTCATAGCACTTTGTCCAGTGAGAAATCAATAGAAAGTGTTAGAAGTTGTCTAACATATCTGAGCCAGTGGAAAATCATGATTCAATTAAATTGGTTTGTTGTATCATTCATGTATCAGTTGCAGTTGTCCCCCAGACTTTGGAATCTGATTGTATATTAACTTCACATTTTGCGGTTTAAGGGAGTATACAGCACTGGAGCTGTTTATATAGACCAACTTGATTTTCATCCCAGGAAGGCGAAATGGTCCCCTCTGGATTTTAGTCACTATTTGTGTTGAGATTAAGGAAATATGTCAATAAAAAATAAAAAATCGAAAGGGGAAGAAAGCTCTGAAGTACGAAAATCATGTAAAAAAGATCGCTAGAGGAAGGGCTTGAACCTTCGACCTTGTGGTTAACAGCCACACGCTCTAACCAACTGAGCTACTCCAGCTAACCTTTAGAAATCAAAATTTAATCTACTTTTGATCCTCACTTTCAAAGCAAAGGATTGAACACACATAAATAAAGGTGTATTTTCAAAGGACTTTTCTAGCCTGTGTACAGGTTGAAGGTGTAATTCATCCATCTTTTAGTCATTAATTTATATGAAAAAACAAAAAATTAATATTAGTTTTAATATCAATGTCATTTGTTTTAATTTAAATAGTTAGTTGTCAAAATTAAAATTAAAATTTATTTTTTCTATATAAATTAATGATTAAAATATTCATTAATTACTTTCTTAATGGGCATTGGTTAAAAAAACTCATTTTCAAATTAGTATATGTTCAAAAGAATAAGTGTTAAATTAGGATAGATTTGTCAATCACATTCGCAGTTAAGTGGTAAGAATTCAATGGTGTGGCACTTAGGGTGGTAAGAATTCAATGGTGTGGCACTTAGGTCATAACTTTAAATCCGATCACTTACATTAATCCCTCACCCCTAATATTTAGTTATATTGTAATTGCCTTATTTTAAAAAAAAAATTAGGGTACATTCAAAAATTGTTTCTCAAATAGTCCTAAAAAACCAACCATTTCCAATTTCCACAGTTTAACAGTTAAAGTTGTAGGCTCAATATTCAAGATCTCGAGTTTTTATATACCCATTTTCTCTAAAGTTAAGATTTATAGTTACTCTTTTTACTTTTTTGTTTTTCATACTTCATTTTTTTTAAATTAATTTATTATTAAATTAAATCAAATTATAAAATATAAAATATTAATTAATAAATATCTTTTAATATTAAAAATTTTATTATTATTTAATAATTAAGGTTGTGTACACAAATCTTTTTTTGTTTCTTTTTTTATGGAAGCAGAAAAAGAAAAGATACGGCGCAACGGCTAATCCGTCCACAGGGTGCTCACCGTCTCCATTATTAGTTTTTCTCCAACGGTCAAATCCTCCCTCCCAAATTTAATAAATCCCTAAATCCCCAAATTCAAAATACACTAGCCGTTATCGACACCGACTCCTCTTTCAAGATTCTTTACATTCACTAACTTTCCATTCTTGCTTCAAATCCCACTCCTCTTTCCATACTGATCTTCGATCCCAATCCCAACAATTCAAATTGAATTCATTTTTGCGCCTTAAGAAAACCCAGAAAAGGAAATTCAAGAATCCGCCATGGCAGCACCTGCGTGCAAGAATTCTGGTTCCCCGAATTTTAGCCGGCAAAAACCTAATGCAAGGAGTTCGGAGCTTAACAACACCATGAGGCGGAGCTTCACGGGAAATCCATTCTCCAATAGGCCTTCTGTTGTCACGAATCCTCGAGGGTTTAACCCTAACACTCCTGCTAACAGTCCTTCAGGTTCGATTTTCTTTCAGCCCTCTTGTTTTTTGGATTTCTTTGTGGTTTATAGATGCTGATCTGTTTGTTTGGTTGCTGGGATTTTGAGAGAAAGTTAAATGATGGGGAAAGACAATAACTTGGATATTTTTCAGTCATTTATTTTTAGTTTTCTTGAATTTTGTTCGGTTCTGTTTGTTTCGATGGAAAATAGTTTCTCTCTTATTTAATTGCTTCCAAGAATTTGTTTTCTTATCACTAGTACATTAGTACTTGTTTGTTTTGTGAGAATCTAAGTGAAAATTACATAAAGTAAAAGAAATATGGTGAAAATTTTGCACAATTTTTTCTGATACAAGGAAAATTCTGGGATGATATTTATTTTTAGTGAATCTCGTCGGGATAAGAAAATCTGAGCATGATATAGTTAGTATCATGGTATGGACTAGTTTTCCCAAAATCATTTTATTTTCCTTTGAATTAAACACAGAATTTTTGCCTTGTGGTACTAATCTAGACACTTTTATCTTGGTATTCACAACTTCCAGATTTTCCTAGAAGACATTCCATGGGAAGAGAAAGTTTAACTTCTATGCATGATTATGAGGACAAGGAAAATGGCAAAGATCAGGGCCTAAAATTGGGGAGAGTGAGATCACCAGCTCCTTCAAAGGGTACCAAGAATTTCATGTCACCTACAATCTCTGCAGCTTCAAAGATCACAGTATCACCAAGGAAGAAAATATTGTCTGAGAGAAACGAGCCGGTTCGATCTTCTGTTTCATTTTCTGATGTAAGAAGCCTAATCATGGAAGATAGCGGCAAGACAGCTCCCAAGATTGATGTGAAGCAGGATAAGAATGAGGATTTAAATGATTCTTTGATCATGGATGGACACAAGGAATTGTTGAAAAGGGATGCAGATGATGATTCTAGGGTGTCCAAAAATGATTCTGAATCATTATCAGAATCCATCACTGATGACAAGGATTTTGTCAATGTGGATCCAAGTTTTGAGATTAGTCCTAGAGTGTCATTTTCGCCTCCTTGTCCTACCCTTGCACCACTTGATGCAGATCCGTTGATGCCCCCATATGACCCTAAAACCAACTACCTTTCTCCAAGGCCTCAGTTCCTTCATTACCGACCAAACCCACGAATTGAGCGCTACCGAGGAAGAGGAGGCAGGCAGCTGGAGGAGAGTTTTCAGTCTGAAAGTTTCTCTGAAACTGAATTCACTGAAGAAACTCAGTCTGAGGATTCACAGAGAGAATCAGAGGAAGCTGCTTCAAGTGAAATGATCAAAGAAGAAGAGGAGAAGGATCTTCTTGTGTCTGAACCAAAGCCATCCATTGGGATGGATATGGTTGAGAAGAGTGTCAAGGCTAAAGTGGTGTCTAAGCCACATTTCTTTACAAGATCAAACCTCATCACTTTGCTTCTGGTTCTGGCTATGGCTTATTTCTCAATTTCAGCCTCTGATTCTTCAGCATTTGCTCCTTCTATGTTCAATGATTGGAATCCCTCTAAAATTCGTGTCCCATTTGAAGTAATAGATTCTGTTAGAGCTAACTTTAATGAGTTAGCTCAAAATCTTCGGCAATGGTCAGCTGACACTTTGTCTTATATCCTCAAAATGGTATCCAGTTTAAGTAAGGTGCCCAAACTTGGTCAGTTGCCGTATGCTAATTTGAGTAGTGTGCTTGAGGATCAGATGGGTGATGGTTACCTTGTATTTGATCAAAGTGTATTGAAGCCTATCCAGAAGAAAGAAGTTATAAATGAAGCACTGGATGAAAAGTATGATGGAGAGATTGAAGCAGATGAGATTGATGAGGAAGAGGCTGCAGAAGAAGACAATGAACCTGGATTTGAAGACCGAGAAGATCAAGAGGTTGAAGCCCATGAAAACTTTGAAGTGGCTTCAGAGGAAGAATCTGAGAATGTGTACCAGGGGATTGAGGCTGAGGTGATCAAACCGGATAATTTAGAAGCTGATCACAGTGGAGGAGTAGGAACCGAGTTTGCTGCCGATGTTGATATTGGACCTCAAAGTAGCGTGGACCTTGGGGGTCAGGAAGGCCTAATTCCGAGGGCTACCAAAATTCAACCAGCAGAATCCAAACCTGAGGAGCCTGGAACTGTGTCTGCTCAAGTTGAAGTCGGGCCTGACAACCCTGAGATGGAAGCTTCTAGGCAAAATTCACCAGAAATGGACCTCCAAACCACCACTAGAAGTTCAGAAGCAGAATCGTCTAGGCAAACAATGAAAGCCTCAGTAGACAAACTATCAACACACAATCTGCTTGGCATTTCTTTGCTTGTGTTGTGTCTGCTTGCAAGTGTAGCTCTCATCTATAAAAAGAAAGGACAACCCTCTGTGCCAAAAGCTGCAGTTCCTGTAGAACAACCAGTTCTAGCAAAGAAACCTGATCACTGTCCAGCATCGGTTAGTGTGGAGCATACCTATGAAAGGCTGTCTTCGAGGAATTGGGAGACAGAAGTTGACATGGTTAATGAGTATTGCCCATCAGAAATGAGTAGCTATGGAAATAGTGCATCATATAACATGAAGAAAGGACATAAGGAAGCTTCAGGTGAAGCTCAGAGCCAAAAAACAAAGCCCAAGAAGAATTATAAGAGAGAATCTCTGGCTTCATCAGATTGCTCAATGGGTTCACCTTCTTATGGCAGTTTCACCACCTATGAGAAGATTCCTAGCAAGCATGTAAGTATATGTATATGTATAAACATCTTTTTCATTCTTTTACTTGCCTAAAATATTTTGAACAAAGCTAGAAACTGACTTCTTCTCATGTTTCGTTCTTTTTGTTTTGAAGGGAGTTGAAGAGATTGTCACCCCCGTTAGACGGTCAAGCAGGATCAGAGGCCAAGCAACTTCTTCACCATGACTGAAGAAATTCTAATTCTATATTGTCACTCACCATTGCAGGGCTCCGCAATTCTATGTGAGTGATGGAACCACTTTGATTGTATGCTGACATAGATTAGTTTGATTGTAATTTGAACACCCTTGTTATTTGATGTCCATCTCTACTTTCTAATGATAAATTACTTTCCTCTAGGACATAACGTTTCTTAGCTTGTATAAATGTTACAATGCTTCTTCAGTAGTTCTCTGAGTTGTTAAATTCATGCATTCCTTCTGATGGATGCTTCTTTAGTTCTCTGATATGCATTACTTCTGTTTCCTTTATTCACTAACTCTTATTCGGTAAGTAAACAAGTGCTGAAACAATGAAGACAACATCATTCCACCATGTTTGTAATTGGCCTTTAAAGTTTTAACTATTTCATAGTAATTATTTTACTGATTACAACATATATCAAGTTCATGTGCTTGTCATTTTCCTTTTGATGTGTAAATCAAGTGCTTTTATATAATATATATGAATGATAATTTAAATATTTTTTTTATGAACAAAATAAAATAGTTTTTATTAATAACAATTGCTAGAGTAACATTTCATGATAAAATCAAGCGTACCAAAAAAAGGTTACAGAAAACAGACAGAGTAACATTTCTCCATTGGCATCATATTTCAAAGTTATCGATCATTTTTAGTTTGACTGAAATGAGTTTAATTATTTAATACTTTTTAAATAAAGTTTTGATTTTAAATTTTGTAAATAGAAAAACAGATTTTAAGAAAGTTTTTCTTTATGAAATCTAATTTATGAAATTTAACGCAACTCAATTTTGCATTAATTAAGGGTTAATATAACTTTTAGATACCAACAAATTAATACTAAAAAGAATCATATTTTAAAGGTTTTTTTTTTTTTTGACAAGGGTAATGGTTAGGAAGTTAGTAGTGTTAGTTGTTAACAACTGGGACTTCTCAGAATAGTAAATAATCCACTCCCTCAGAAGAAGCGTGCGACTATTAAATCGCAAGTTGGTAAAATTTATGACAGTAACATAGTTCGAAACCCTGAACTCCGCCTCACCCAAGTCCTAGACTGGACCACAGGGCCGGTTGGCAATCATATTTTAAAGTTGAAAACAAACCAATATGATAAAAGATAAAAGACAAAATATAAAAGATAAAAGGGTCAGCCACATCAACAGGTGCACGTGCCGGAGTCGTTATTGGGCATGACTAGAAATCATGCGGGCTCTGTCTTTCGGTTCGAATCCTGCGGTTCACGAATTAGTTTCGAGCCAGCCAAGTTGTCTATCTTGTGGTTTAGATTATACAAAATTATAAAATTAATGTCCCTAAATAGGAAAGGTCAGTGGCATAAACCCTGTTTAAGGCTGTTTCCCTTTTGTAGGTAACGTATTGGAGCTTTATA